TTATAAATGTTAGCGAAGCATGGTAGGACATGGCCATTAACATTTCCATAGCTGATATTTCTTGGTTGATCTTGATGGAATCACAGCATCAAAATGCAACTGCCACTGGAGGAGAAGGGTGCCCTTTCAGGTAACAAATGAAGCAACAAGATCACCCATCAGTAGCATTTCCATTAAAGCTAGAAATACCTAGCCTAGATCCTGGCCCAGGAATGCCCCTCATAAAAATTCTGAGATCAGTGAGTTGCAAGGCTTTACCTGTTGCACTAAAATCATGAAATCAACTTGCCTAGCTATGTAGCAGGTTATTTTGTCCTTTTCATTGATTTACAATTTCTGAAATACAGAGGGTTAAAGTCTTTATGTAACTTCTAAAATTCACCTTTTTGAAGATAATTTCAAGGAAATAAATGTGTATTTGATTAGTAAATTTTGTATTTATATTCTTGTTGTCCCAGTTACTTATATTGCCAAGCAATAGATGTGCATATTTTAATGAAGTGTCATTTGTTCCCAAGCATTTATTTTTTAATAAAATTATTTTTATTCATCCATGTTCACAGTATATAATATTTGTATTCCCTGTATGGAGTTGGTACACATACTCCACACATGTTCATTTCTCTTTTCAACCCCTGTTCCTCCCCTCCCCCATCTCTTGATCCCCTTCCAACTGGAGAAAGATCTCTCTCCCTACTTCATATTATCTTTTATTTTGGTCTTTATATTTTAGGTCTCTCAATGCAAGAAACCATGCGATATTTAAGCTTGTGTGTCTGATTTTTTTTCACTCAACAATATGGTCTCAAGGCACATCCATTTCCCTACAAATGACTTGAGTTTATCTTTCTTCATAGCTAAGCAGTTACTTTTTAACCACAGCACACTGTATACTGATCCCTGTATGAATGCATAACTCTTTAAAAATTTAAGTGCAAGAAAACTACATGAGTACATTGATATGTTATTCTAGAACTGAATTTATTATTGCAACACATGCTAATTCTTTCTTTTTAATTGTAAGGTCTTTGGAGCAGGATATTATCTTTCACATATTTGTATTCCTGTCTTGTTAGAGCTTGCCAATTCATTACAAAGGGCAGAGATCCAATAAATATTTAACAGATTGATGGATGCTGTATTCTTTGTACCAATTCTGAGGGGAAAATCAGAGTATCTTCTCTTGGTATAATGCTTAGGGCATCTGTCTTGGAAGGAGTATCTTTTCCCAGGAAACTACAGGGCTCAGATGCTGGGTAGTTCTTTACACTTCAACTAAACTTACTAGGTGAAGTGATTGTAGTTTCAGGTTATGGTGCTGGTTCAAGTTTCAATCTATGCCTTAGTTTCACCTTCCTCCCTTCTCAGCCCTACACTGGCACCAGAGGGGCATTTTAAAACCATAAATATGGTCAAATTTTTTGTTTACAATCCTTCTAGTATGTATGTTAGCGCCTCTGTAGCCCATTTGAGATGTAGATGAGGTGGCTGTCCTTCTGCCTTCACGTTCAGCATACCTGTTCCTCAAACACATCTCTGTGGATTTTTGGGCTGGAGACTGTGACATAGGTACTGACCTTCAGTTGTGTGTTCCCAGACCTTCCTGTACACAGGAGACCCATGAAGATATATCTTCAAAAGTTTATGCCTTGGCATCGTTTTTCATTTACTACTTTGTAAACATTTTGGCACCATGCTTTAAATTGCTGCCATACACAAAAACAGTAGGAAGACATGGGCCTACAGGACAGCTGTCAAATTGGCCAATGAAAGTCAAGGAAGAAGGCAGACTTTGTATAATTTTAGACATGTGCTTATCTGCATCCTTATGGGTGCTCTGTTTTATGTAATTGTCCATAAAAATGTGGCATGGAATTTTCATTATTTTTAATAGAATAGCGCATCACCATCCAAATTAAAAAAAAAAACTTTAAGCAAATCTGTTTTCCCTCCCAAATACTTAATTTGTCACTTTAAGACAGTTTTGACATTACAGCTTTTGTCTTTAGGTGGAGCTGTTAAAGTTAAATATGTGTGAATAACTGTCAAATGCGATTCTTGCAAGAGTACACGTACATTTTATATATTGCAAGAAAAGCATAATTAATAGCTAATTAGGATAATGAAAGTAATATACACCAGATGTAGGGAAGACCTTGTGGAAAATTAGTATGAATTAGATAACATGTGATTTGGTCAAAGCAAGCTTGTTGAGAAGAATTAAAACAGTGGACATGTGGAGGGACAATCAGTGGCTGTCTAGCTCCTATACCTAGGGAATAATTTAATCAAGTTTGCTATTGTAATACTCAGGGCTTCAAGCTGTTCCATTTTCACAAGTTGATAACTTGGGATTTGGGCCTTGATTTGCAGCATTCCTATATGGTCAAGGTTTCCTGTTGAAATGATCACTTATCAAGTAATTTAATAAAGGCATCTCTATGCAGAAGGATAGAAAAGTAATCAGACTTTGAATACTTGAATTCAGCCGCTAAATATTCTAGATACCATTTAAGTAAAAGAAGGCTAATACTTATTACATCATTCATTTTCTGTTTAATGTCCATTGGTTGGCAATAGTCCAATGTAGCTATTCCTTGCACATGTTCAGTGGCATTTCTAATTTTAAGAAACAAATTTAATAATTCCTTGGTTGTCATGTATATATATATTTATATATAATTATGACTTTTACTTTATATACATTGTCACTTAATTGTCACAGCAGTGCATAAGCATCCTCACCGTCACCATTGTCCAGGTTTTTGGATAACTAAACCATATGTAGACTAAGTAACTTGTCCAAAGTTAGGTAAATGGTGTATCCAAGATTTGAATGTGAATTTGCCGTCACCATCTTTTACCCATGAGATACATATGCTGATAATGTTGTAAGAAGAAACTTCGATCCTTATAATTATATAAAGACAGGATAAATGCAGTTTCTATGTGGTATGGGTCATTTTTAGTTCACTGATTTTTACCAAAAGTTTGTAAATGTAAATAACAGAGCAATAATCTATACAACAGCCATTTTCTCCTGTCCATGACAAATTACTGATTGATAGCTTTGAAAATAAGCTGTTTTTATTTGCTTTTAGGCAGTGATATTTCAGCCATATTCCAATCCATAAATGACTGTAGAGAAGCAGAAGCCTTATCCACTGACATTTTTCAGTGGGAGGTCTGTCAATTGGTGAGTCACAGGTTTACCCTGAGGAGCTCATCAAGCATAGACATAAGCCTCAAGTGTGGTTTAAGATAATACATCTACCCTGGCTGAACACTCTGAAGTGTCTCTTACATGGTCAAGAAGGACTTTATTGAATCAGTTCTTTAAAATGAGAACCTGTAGATTGGAATGGGCATATGAAATATGGAGTTAAATTGAGCTTTAAATTTAATTTGTTAGTATGAAAGACATTAAAGTCTGTGACCAATTCTTCAAATTATCTTCTGGGTATAGTAACAGTTTTCATAGCCAGGAAAATGAAGACTGCATGAATTTTCTACAGTACACTAGTCTGTGGGTCGGACGATGTTTGCTGATGGTGCATTGCCCTCTTAAATCCTAAAATCATTTCTGCTTTTAAGTTTTGTGTCAGCATATCTTATTGCACACAATTTGTCAATTGGATTTTTATATAAATACCAGTGGATTACTTTATTTGTAAAATCTTACTAGCCTACCCTCTAAGATAAAGGGGAAAGAATCACTTTATTCAGTGGCTTTAGAAACCACATTTCTGTGGAGAGAGAATGCTTTCTAAGAGGTACATACCGTATTTCATATCTTACCTGAATTCCATATGTTTTTATAAACTAGAGATTTGAGTCCACTAATCTAGTGAAAAGCTTATTTAATTAAATATTGGATGCTTTCAAAGAGGAGGCTAGTAAATAATCAAGTGAAAAGATAATAAAATCATTTTTATAAACTCATGGAAAACTTCTTTTAAAGTGAAAAATGATTCCTGCCTGGAAGTAAAGACTAAAATATAAGAACTGCCAATTCTAGTAAACTTCAGTTGTTTCTTTGGGGAACAAGGACAATAAATTTAAAAATTACTCAGATTATGCTTTTCATCACATGTCATAAGAATAGGAATAAAAAGCATTATATAGAAATTAGTAATATTAAATTTAAGAACGCCACTCTGAGCAGAATAGATCGTGAATGGGTTATAATTCCTGTGTAATTAATAAATATGTGCAAGAACTCTTTGTGAAATATAAAAGGACAGTAAACCTAAGAGAACAACTCATAATAAAATTCAATAAACTAAGATATAAAATAACATTTTCATATACTAGCCATATTCTGTTAGACATTATAGAGGGAAATGGTCCTTAATGAATAGCAAAAAAAAAAAAAAAAAAAACCCTTATAGAAAAAATGAAGTCAACTGAATCATACTGAATCCAACTGTGAGTAAGAGAATATAATTTAAATGGACTAAAGTGTTGATTAGAACTTTGAAACAGTATAGAGTTTATAAAATTTTTTTAAAATGTTTGTATTATCATGGAAAATTATTTTAAAAAGCATAGAAAACAGCATGGAAGGGAATGTGCCGAAATACATACCTTTGCAAATACTATTAGTTATAGTTCTTCATTTTACAGTATAGTTTTTGTATTTGCTATAAGAAACATGAATGCTTCTGTGCTGTGTAAAAATATGCACATCAAAAATTTTTGGTGTGGTTTTGGGGATTGAATCTGGGGCCTTGTGCATATTAGGTGGGTGCTGTACCTCTGAGCCACATCTATAGCCCTACATTCAAACACTTCTTTAGTAATTTAGATGAAAGATACAGACTGGCTTTGGCTTTCATGTATCATGTTTGACCTTATTCTGGGAAGAATTTTATATATGTGTGTATATATAAGGCATGAACATACATATCCATGCATATATGTGCATCTATGAATATATATATATATACAAGCATGAACATGTTTATTTTTGTTACTCTTCTGGTTTGTAATTTCCTTAGAAAGATGTGCGGGACATCCTCACCCCAATCCAGATTGAGGCTGCTTACCACCTTGGGCACCATGTTATCAGGAAGAGAAGCACAGAGGAATTCCCGCCCCTGCAGCCAATCCTTCAGCAGAAGAAAGAAAAAAACATGATTAAAAAAATGGTAATATTTTCCTTCACTCAGAGGACTATGTTACAGGACTAGAGTGTTATTTAAACTATGGCATAATTCTGAAGAAATGAACTTATAGGTCTGAGTCCTTTTTAAAATTTTTTATGGGTATTTAAGAAAACGGATTTATGGCATGCCCTGTTCTCCATGTCTCTTTAGTTTTTATATTCCCTTTAGGATATTGAACTGAATATTTTTAAATATGCATTTAGCCACAATAGTAGCTTCCCATATATATAAAATGTTAATTTTCTCTCTCTGATGCTCTGCCAGTGAAGACAATGTATTACTAGAGAAAAGCATAATGGAAGTAAGTTGCATTCTTGAGTTAGTTATTCGGTGTCTTTATGTGAGCTCAGTTTATCTTCCTCTTTCTCATTTGTCTCCTTTCTCATGGTGCCTCTCTTTCACTTGCCCTATCCATGGGTCTCTTCTATCTTATTATTCCAGTTGCCTGTCAATTCTATCATTTATAACATATATACTTAAGTAACACAACATTTTCTCTTTTAAAAAAATGTTACCACATTCTTTTCCGCCACCTTCCAAGATGGGTTCCAGCTGAAGATGATCTTGCATTTCATGTAGTGACTGCTTTTTTAACATTCTCCCAAAATGTTTGTTTCACTGATGGTGCATTTATTAGCAGGAGCTCCATGGTTCAGACCTTTACTGTCCAGCTATGTAAAAACAGTGGGTTTCGGCATGGAAAAACATGCATTAAAATGCATGCATTAAAGTGAGCCACAAACAGAAGAGATGAAAGGGATAGGTAAACTTCTAGTTCATATCCTGTCCAGGCAAAGCGGCACTTAAGCCACCTTTAATCACCACTATCCTTGAGTTTATCATCACCGCTGCCTGATCTAGAATACTAGGGGCACTTAAAAGTTTAGGGCATATTTTCTCTTATTCATATGAAAATATTTATGAAAGTCAGTGAGGATTTTTTTTTCTCTTTTATTTTCAGCTTTTAAGAACAACTAATTTTAAACGTCTTGATGACATCAGTCTTGCAAGCATACAATCCAAAACATTGGCAATATGTAGTTGTATTAATCTACATTTTGGTTCTTAAGAGAACTCACTTTCAAGTAAGAGTCACGGGGGAAATATTACTCATTTGATCATATAGAGAAAAATGTATGCCTCTTCTCGCTGAACATGGGCCATCCGTGGTCTGGCAAATTTACAGTGCTCATGTCACTTGCGACTTTCTGCGCCTGCTTCTCCTCTGACTTCCTAGATTCTCCCTTTTCTGTATTTCCCCCTCTTTCACCCACTCCTGTCATTCTTCTTTCTGTTTATTGTTTTTCTTTTGTCCTCCTTATCCTTCAGATCTTCCCATATATCTTGTAGCATCTGTGGGTCCTACTTCAATGTTCAGCTGAATCAATTGTGGAATCCTTACAGTAAACCACCTTTGAATTTTGTTCTGTGTTTGCTCAAAGTGAAATTTCTCAATTTCTATATTTAGGTGTTTTCAATGAATGCAAAATACTGTCCTCCCATCTGCAATAATTAAATAAGTGCAATGCTTTTGTATGATAAACAAGATCAAAATATAGCACCAGAAAATGGAAAGGAAGTTGATTAAGAACATCTTGGCAGCTGATATTCTCCAATTATCTGCAGAGTGCCTTTAATTTAACTTTTTCTCAAACCTCATTTCATTTAACAAATTTAGGCTTTAGATTTACCTCCTGGAAGAATTAAGTTTCTGGGCCTTGGATGTAGCTCAGCAGTACAGTGCTTCCCTGGCAAGCGTGAGGCCCTGGGTTTGATTCCTGGTACCAGAAAAAGAAAAGAACTAAGTTTCTTTGGCTCTGCAGCCATGTCATCTGAACCCACTAATTCTCAAACTGAACTCTTAGGGATGGTTAAAATAATTCCAAATCTGACATATTAATTTGGTCTTCCTCACATATCAAAGATGATTTATTCTTCACATACAAATATATCTACTGATTGAAATAAAAATATTACCATATTTTGTTTTCAGATAAATTTTGCAAGGTTTTGTGCCCATGAAAATTGTTCTGCTGATTTACAGGTTTCTGCAAAAATTGGATTTTTCAAGTAAGTTTACAATACTATTTTTTTTTTCATTTAAGAGGACATAATACATAAGTGTACATGGGTTCCAAAGATAAAGGGAACTAATCTTTGAGAGTTAGATTCATTCAAAAATTAGAAAAGAATAATGTTGTACTGAGAGTGGTTATATATATTTTCTATTAGATTTGGCTAGTAGTACATATTTTATATATACACACATATATAAACTCATAAATACGTATTATGGTAAGTATGCATTCAGGGATTGCCACTTTTCAAAGAATGAGTATATATGAACAGGTAAGTGTTATGAAACATGTTTTAATTCTTTATTAATAACGCTGAGGCTATATCCAGGTGTAATTGTGCCTTGGAATACAGTATGTTTTAACATTCATCAGGGCTTGTTAATAGAGTTTGGGGAGCAAAATGAGCTTTCACTGTACAGTACAAAGCCTAGTTTACCACTCAGAAGACTGGTTGTATCATTCAAACTGATATACAAAACAGCGCATGTACAGCAACTTTGAAAAGAAAGAAACCAACTTTCTCATCTAAATTCGTAGGAGAGAAAAACAGTGTGTGTGTAACGCGGTTAGCGTAACATGCAGCACATAGTGAGAACTAGCTACATGGTGGCTGCGGTGTTCCTTGGTGCTGGAAGACAAGCTGTAATTTTCTGTCATTCCTTGATCCCCTCTATGGAAATTGCTTTGCACATCAGAGGGAAGATGGGAAGGTGAGGGCCGGAGAGGTTGCCCAGTTGCAGTTGAAGGCCAGTTGCACATGGGGAGGGGCAGAGGGGGAGCAGAGGCAGCAGCAAGGTTGGCGTGTGAAGCTGGGTACCTGGCTAGGTGCAGGTCAGGAGCGTCAGAGGAGCTCATGCAGGCAGGCTTGGACAGTGCCCTCTCCTGCTCCTTCCCTGCCTTTGACCCCCACACTCGTGTCTCTCCATGTGTAAATACACAGCTCTTGAAAAATACATGAAAGAAATCTTCACTGGAGCCTGCCTGTTCCCAGTATTCTCTCCTCCATCATTTATTCTGTCATTTGACTGCTGGTACACAAACAGGAAACATGTTCCATTAATGACCAGTGTGTGATGCCACATGCTGGGATACAAAGTGGTAGTCACTATTTTGGGGTTATGTCGTAGGGTGCCAGTCTAGTTAATTTAAGTATAAAGTCCACTTGCCACTGGGGTGTGTTGGTGCATATCTATACTGCCAGCAGGCTGAGACAGGAAGGTGCAAGATCCAGCCCAATCTGGGCAATTCAGCAAGAACAAAACCAAACAAAAAGGCTGAGGATATTGCCTGATGCAGAGACCCTGTGTTTATTCCCCAGTACTGCGGAAAAAGAAAAGGAAAGGGAGGGGCTGAGAGGGAGGGGAATAAAGGAATGAATAAATTACCAACCAAATACTGACTAGGTAAGGCTCTGTTGGTATTGCCTAAGCCAAAATAGTTCATTTATTTTCTACCATATGTCCTTTCCCTTAGTTTCACTTTCTACAGTTTTCAGTAACCTGCAGTTGATTGTGATTTGAATGTAATAAATTAAAAATTTCAGAATTAATTCATAAGGTCCAAGTTGCGCGAAGTTCAGAGTAATGTGATGAAATCCCTCTCTGTCCTACTCTGCCCTGCACTGTATACACTACCTGCCATGTCAACCTCTTCTTTGTACCTGTCCTGGTTATAGGATTAACCATTGCAGAATCTCAGTGCTTGGGTTTGAGTAATCTCATTTGGCTTAATTTTGGACCCCAAGACACAAGTAGTGATGCTGGTAACTTTATTGTAGAATATTGTTAGATTTTCTTAATTATTGTTAGTTGTTTTTTTTTTTTTTTTTACTATGAACAATCTGTGAAGTAAACTCTGTCATATGTACGTGTGGAAATATCATGGTGTATACATAGGGTCTGGTCCTGTCTGCAGTTCGGGTAT